CTACTTGAGCCACTCCTCCAATCCTTTTTGCTCTGGTTATTTTGGAGATAGGATCTCACTTTTTGCCCAGGCTGGCCTGAACCAGGATCCTTCTATTTTATGATGTGGCTGGGATGACAGGCATGTCTCACCATGCCCAGCTTTTTTCCATTGAGATGGTGTGTTGCTAACTTTTTGCCTGGGATGGTCTTGAACCCGATCCTCCTGGTCTCAGCCTCCTGTGTAACTTGGGATGACAGGTGCTCACCACTGCACCCAGCTATTGTTTGAGATGAAATATCCCTAACTTCTTGCCCCAGCAGGCCTTGAACAGCCTATCCTTTATTTTAAAATGCAGCATTGTTTCAATTACCTATATAAAATCTATTCCCCTCATTATTATTGGTAATCAGTTTCTTCAAAGGGAGTAAGGAAAGTAGCTGTACTCCAAGCTTCTTTCATGAATTAATATTTTTTTCATTTTTTAGACTGGTTCAGTGGCACATACCTGTGGTCCCAGCTACTCCAGAGGCAGAGGTAGGAGGATAAAAGTCCTAGGCCAGCTGTAAACAAAATTAGCAAGATCCTATCTAAAAAAAAAAAAAAAAAAAACTAACTAAAAGCAAAAGAAGTTGGGTGTGGCTCAAGTGGTAGAGTGCTTGCTTAGAAGGCACAAGACCTTTAGTTCAATCCCCAGTGCAAAAAAAAGTCTAAGCCAATATAACTGATACAATTTCTTTTTTTGGGCGGTACTGGGGCTTGAACTCAGAGCCTTCACCTTGAGCCACTCCATCAGCCCAACTTTTTGTGATAGGGTTTTTCGAGATAGGGTCTTGCAAACTATTTGCCCAGGCTGGCTTCAAACTGCGCTCCTCCTGATCTCTGCCTCCTGAGTAGCTAAGATTACAGACGTGAGCCACTGGCACTCAGCCTGATGTGATTTTTAAACTGTAATGAGAGGTGTGCAACAAAAAGAAGAGGTTCTACCAATAGGGTTATAGTATATAAATACATGGAAATAGCACAAGGAAACTCCCTGTGCTATTTATCTCAAAAAAACAATAATGTCATTTTTTTCTTTTCTTCATTTTTCCTCTACAAAATTAGAGAATGTGAGGGTGGAACATGTCCTGCAAGGGGGGTGTTACCAATGGGAGTGGGGAGGCAGTAGAGAAAGGGGATACGAGGGTGAATATGGGGCAAATACTGTGAACACATGTAAATGCAAAAATGATACCTGCTGAAACTATTCCAGAAATGGAGTGTGGAGAGGGAATGAATCCAAATATGATATATTTGATGCATCATAAGAACTTTTGTAAATTTCACAACGTACCTCCACCCAGCACAATAAAAATAAAAATGTAAAAAGAAAGAAGAGGTTCTATGAGAAAGAATAAAAATAATAGGGGAAACTCAAAAAAGCAAAGGAAGGAGACATAACAGAAGTCAGCCAGGGGAAGATGTGGAAAGTTTCCATCTGCCTCCTTCCACTGGCACCCCAATGGCCAGCATGAAAAGCAAGTGAGCCTGCTGGTTTCCCATCACACACCCTAAAAAGGGAAATTCCTTTCCATAACACTGCCACATTACACAGTACACCACGAGGGCCCTCCATGAGATGAGACCTGGATCAACAACTTCAACCAAAACCAGCACCACTGCCTATACTGATCAGCATACCCGCTATTCATAACATTGAAGGATGGTCTGGGGATTACCAGGTATTTGAGTGAAATGTACAGCACAAATAAAACTATCACAAAAAGACAACTGACCACAAGAGGGAGAAAAACATTAATGAAAGACAAAGACAACTTTTCATCAGTTCCACTTAAAATCTTTTAGGCATAAATCATACCCATACATTAAGAACAAGCAGCAATGTGCTGGGTGTGGAGGTGAACATCTTTAATCCCAACATTTTGGAGGGTGAGGCAGGAGGATCATGAGTTCAAGGCCAGCCTAGGCTACATGGAGAAACTCTTTCAAAAACCAAGGGCTAGGGGACTGGAGATATGGTTCAAGCAGTAGAGCACCTGCTTTCGAAATGTGAAGCCTTAAATTCAAACCCATCTCACCAAAAAGAAAAAAAAATCCAAGGGCTACAGAGGTGATTCAATGGTAGAGCACCTGCATTTGCCTAGCAGTACAAGACCCTAGGTCCAATCCCCAGTACTGTGATGATGATGATGATGATGATGATAATAATAATAACTTTAATTTCCATGAGCCGAAAGAAATCCTATAATTAAAGGAGCCAATCAGATACCTAGTAATACGAACCAAGAACACACTCTAGTAAAATTATTAAAAAGAAAAAATTAAAAGCTTCAAAGAAAAAAAAACCCAAGTTGCCCAAAAGAAAGGGGCTTAGTTTGAATATCAGCTACAATGGGTGTTGGAAGACACTGAGGCAGAGGAAAGGGAAAATTTCCCTTCCCATAGAGTCAGCAGACTCTATGACAGCTTCAATAAAGTATGAGAACAAAGTGAAACCATTTCAGACTTTTAAGGACTCAAATACTGAATCTCCCATTTACCATTTCTTGAAAATTACTTGAGAATCAATCCAACAAAATGCCTGAGGCATTCAAGACGTTGGTGATATGCAGAATCCAAAACAATGCAACTAACACAAGAGTTCATTTTTTTTAAAAAAGTTCCACATGCATACCTGTGTTTAGGAAGCTACATATTAATGGAAATTAGAACAGGAATTCCAATTCTTCAAGGAAAAACTGTTTTCAAGAACTAAGCAAATAGTGCATCAAATAGTGCATTAAGCCAGAAATGTTGAGATTCTTTGTTAAAATAATTAACAAGAAATTTATAATTATAGACCTTGTAGAAGACCATTTCAGTCCAAACACAAAGTAAAATGAACTCTGATACCATGGTACATAAAAGATGTATGATTTATACCCTTCCAGGGATGGTTTCCATGACACAGAATTTCATTTCTTTTATGAGTCTAACTGCACAAATTGGTTTCCTACAAATAGTAAAAGTAATAACCAATCCTATTTTAACACAACTTCTGCATTCTTTTAAGTTAATATATGTCCTAGTCTAATTTTAAAAAGTTCATTTGTTAGGCAATTTAATCCTCTGAATGATAGCACAGGGTTAGGTGACTCTCCCAGGGTCCTACACTAGTTGAACCCAGATGATGTGGCACCGGAATCCTTGCTCCAGTCTTAAACACTTGGCACCAAAGCTTCCCAGAAAGCTTGTTAATTTACAGTCCTGAGAATCAACCTATCATCCTAAAACAAGACAGCACAAGTACCATAGAGAAAACAGAATATAGACATACCCAACTTAACAAAGCAGAAAGAAGCATAAAGTAAGGACAGGGGGAGAGATGTGTGAGGAAGCTATTTTTCTTACCGTCTCTTTAGGAGTAATTTTCTTTTTCAATAGGATTATAATAATGAACTTTCTACATAATAGAAAGTCATAAGTCGATTTTATTGACATAGTTTAAGATAATAGTATAAAAATCAGCAGGGACGAGAGATAATGAACTTGAACTAAATTCCTCACATTTCCTAGCAACTGTAGTAATTAATATTATGTGCTTCCAGCAGGTGTCAATAGATATTGCCTGTTTTTTTAATTACATATAATTTGTGTAGTAACTATCAGAAAAACTAAATCAAATTAAAGTGGGTACATTAAGTAATAGCAATACAAGCAAATTATTCAGAACTCTGAAAGAAATATCAGAAAGACTGATGAAAGAAAAAGAGAAGGTCTGAGGAAAGAGAAGACTTGCACAAGTTACATTTTTACAAAAATGATTAGGTATTATTTTATTATGAAAAATAATTCTATAATACTATCAATAATAGTAATACTTTGTAAAGGAAGGATAAACTGAAGAGGGTAGCTGTCAATTCTGACATGATAAAAAGACAACTAATGCTACCAGAATATAAAAGACCCAGTAGGGTACAAGAAAAAGAACAAATATAATATACAAACAGATTCCAGCATACTCAGTCTTTGTGGATTGTTGGTTTCCACGTCACTGTGGACTAAACAGCCATTCTTTTATACTAACTTCTCAAGAGACATTCGTTTCATTGGCTTTAAACAACTACTGAGTCACACACACTCCAAACTTCCACGTTCAAAGAAAAAAAAATGGGGGAAGGAAAGCTGTCTCAATTCACACATTGTTGACGGGAGCAGACACTGGCATCACCTTTATGGGGTATAATTTGGTAGTCCTTCTTGAAATGAAAACACGACTACATTTGGACCTAAGAATTTCACTTCTCTGAATCCACCCTACAGGAACACTCCCAAATGGCTCAGAGATAACTGCACTCCTCAGACTTCCAATTAAACCAGTAGGAAACAGGAAAACTAAAAACCACCTTACTGCACGTTGGTAGATGCCGAATTTGTTTTCTTACCACGTAAAAACTAAAATACATCTGTATTAGTGACACCAAAACTATCCACAATATAATGTTGAGCAAGAGCAAGCAAGTTTCAGAACTGCATGTTGTTCAATTTTTGTCTAAAAGGATGCATGCAAACACAACGTGTGTAGACAGCGAGCTGAAGTGTTGCATGGAGGAGACACTGTCTTTACTTGTAGTTTTTAAATCATTATTCTTTACACCCAGCATTGTTGATTTTATATTTTAAGAAATCAGGTCATATCGCAATTGCCATGTAGCTGGGGGTTTTGTGTTTTTTTAAATTCCAAAAAGGAAAACACCCGATGTTTTCCATTGGTTCATCCTCTAAGGGGAAAAAACCTCTAGACAGCTTGTAGTCTGGGATCCGCGTAGTTTTTCGATGGCTGAATTCGTTTTTAGCGAAGGGGGACGGAAAAGAGGGACACAAGACCACTCAGGGCGGGCGCAGCTGGGCAGGCCCGGCAGGGCCGGGCGGGGAGGGGACAAGCGCCGCTGGGCCTGGGGACACGGGGACGCGGTGGCAGGAGCTCTAGATCGCGTGTGCGACAGCTGTGGAGGAAGGCGCGCCCCCAGGGCCAGTACCTTCCCAGGAGAGCTCGCCCCCCGGCTCGCGCTTCAGGAACTTGTACCAGAACGGGTCCAGGCGGCCCGGCTCCGCCCCGTCCCGCGTCGCCTCGTCGGGCGCCAGCTCCACCTCCCCGAGCCACAGGCCCGGCTCCTGCAGCGCCAGGGCCCCCGCGCCCGCCGCCGTGCCCGCCGGCCTCAGGCGCACGGCTCCGCGCGGCTCCCAGCGCCCCAGCTCGGCCCGCGACCCCACGACCAGCAGCTCCGGCCGGGCGCCGGCCACGGCGGGCGGCACCACCACCCGAAGCGGAAGCGCATGGCGGCGCGCGGCGGGCTGTGGCTCCCGTGCGCGCGGGGCCCGCGGCCGGCACACCGGGCCCGAGCGCACGGCCCGCGGCGATTGGGCGGCGGCGCGGAGCCCGCGGGGACACGTGCGGCCTGCGCCCCGTGGGGCTGCATCACGCGGCCCCGACCTCCGCCAGCCCGGTGCGGGGGCCGCGGTCAGCGGAGCCACCCGCGACCTCCTGCTGCGGTGTAACCCTGCGGGCCGCCGACTGCCACGCGTGGGCACTGGGGACCTGGCCACAGGAGGAAAGGAGGGGAAATGAGGCTAGGACGGAGGAAAATTTCTAACTCCAGGACTTGAAAGTATCTTTATGAAGGTCATAAAGAGGAAATGGCATCTAGACGCGCCGCCAAATAGCGAAGTTGGGGGAAGGTCCTAGACCCGACCTAGCTGCAGGTCTCCATCCAGTCACTTAGGGTCGCTGGGCCTCGGTTTATGTTTAAAATCAACGTATGGAGTTGGTAGAATGGCTCAAGTGGCAGAGTGCCTGCCCAGCAAGCTTGAGGCCCTTAGTTCGAACCCCAGTACGCCAAAAACTAAAATAAAATAAAGGTATATGGATAATGATCTTTCAGGACGAAAGAGCTCTGATTCGTGCAATACACAACACTCAGGACCCTGAACTGCTCACACACATTTTCTGCTTTCCCCCTGCCTGTCCAATTTAATCCCTGGAAAAACACACTCTTCTCTTTCTTCGAGATAATAATATACTTTTAGTAAGTGTAAAATGGGTTTTAGGTTAACACTTCCAAATCCTTCTCAAGATCAAAACGACAAAAACTAATTTCGTGATTATAAATGTTTGACTTTCATAATTCTTAATGGCATGAAAATAAAGCCCCTTGTTCAAAATCTACTAGTAAAAGCACTATTTTTACATCTTAAAACATATTGGGGTCAGGGAACGCAGAGGGTAGGGTTGGACTTCAATTTGTCATGATAAAAACACATGACCTGTTTGCATGTTACTTTTTGGTTCTGTCAGAATATTGTTGTATAGTCATTAACATTTAACATAATACACATCTCAAGTGAATTAAAGTTCCACAAAGATGCATATTTGTCAGTATTTGGAAGCTTGTGAGTAGTGAAGGGAAAAATACTAAATTTTATGCATGTAGAAAACATAAGTACAAAAATGTTAACTATACAAACTCCCTCTCTCTCTTTAGAACAATTAGTAAACTAGTAGTACATTCACCCTTTAAGATTGATATCTGCTCAGAGTTTGCTTGGTTGCTAAGCTTAAGGATAAACATCAAGAAAAAAATGTGAAGACAGCAGGGCTGGCCAAACGGCTGACGCAGTAGCAAAACATACATGAACTCCCAGTGGCGTGCCAGCCAGTTTATTCAAGCTGCTGTTACAAAACAGAGTAATTTTAGGAAAATAACAGTCTTTTGGTTGTTCAAAGAGGACTATTTGTCTACAATGATATTCAGACTTCTGTGAATCTTCTCATTTCTTCAGGACCCCAGAGCTAACTCTTCAGAACTTCTGCTCAGTGGTGCTGCCTGCCTTGTGTGCTTTCCTTCCACCTGCTTCTTCCAAAATGCACACTGCCCATCCTACAGATGAAACAGTATCAGAATATTATAAATGTGTTCAACAGACCTTTCCTTTTCTCTCTCATCATAAAGAAGCTGAATAATTTTAACTGTTGGAAGAAGTAGTCCTTTAAGCCCCTAAACAAACTACAAGAGGAGCTCATGTTATGGTGTAGGTTTAAATATGGTGCAAATTTGATAGGCACATTGGGTACCAAGCAAAATGCAACTAGAAAGGAAAACAATACCAAAAGATAAACGACCTATTTCAATACCTCAATCCTATTCAACTGTTAATTCCTTAGGTATATTAACCATCAAAATAGCCACCGAGCCGTTATAGGCTGAGCACATAGTTTTCATATTTGCACTATCTCATTTAATTCTCTCAGCAATCCTCTGAGGTAACTACAATTGTCCCCATTTCCAGATGTCAGGAAACTGAGTTATGGAAATAACCAGTGTGCAGTCCACAGCAAGAAAAGGCTGAGCCACGTTTAAAAGCATCCATTCAGCTAAAGATACATAGGCAAATGGATATTTTCATAACAAAAATATTGATAGAATGAATTTAAATCCAAGTATATTTAAATGTTATTGTCTGTTAGGTGTAATAAAAAGTGAACTTCCTGCAATTATTTCTTATAACTAACTTCATCTTTAGGAATGATGAAATAGATGAATCACTAATGGTAGTCTAAACTGATCAATGAGTCTGCAAAGACAAATATTTTGGTATTCAGAGAAGATTTGACTTCTCAGGAAATTGTAATTTTTATGCCTTCATAAATCTATCTTATTTGCAACAGAAACACAGACTCAGTGAAGTTAAGCCAAGCTCAGACAAAGACTGCATGTTTTTGAAGAGAACACCCACAGAGTGGGAGAAAATATTTGCCAACTATACATCAGACAAAGGACTGATAACCAGAATATACAGGGAACTTAAAAAACTAAATTCTCCCAAAACTAATGAACCAATAAAGAAATGGGCACGTGAACTAAACAGAACTTTCTCAAAAGAAGAAATTCAAATGGCCAGAAAACACATGAAAAAATGCTCACCATCTCTAGCAATAAAGGAAATGCAAATTAAAACCACGCTAAGATTCCACCTCACCCCTGTTAGAATAGCCATCATCAGCAACACCACCAATAACAGGTGTTGGTGAGGATGCAGGGGGAAAAGGAACCCTCTTACACTGTTGGTGGGAATGTAGACTAGTACAACCACTCTGAAAAAAAATTTGGAGGCTACTTAAAAAGCTGGACATCCATCTACTGTTTGATCCAGCAATACCACTCTTGGGGATATACCCAAAAGACTGTTACTCCAGAGGCACCTGCACACCCATGTTTATTGTGGCACTATTCACAATAGCCAAGTTATGGAAACAGCCAAGATGCCCCAGCACAGACGAATGGATTAAGAAAATGTGGTATCTATACACAATGGAATTTTATGCAGCCATGAAGAAGAACGAAATGTTATCATTCGCTGGTAAATGGATGGAATTGGAGAACATCATTCTGAGTGAGGTTAGCCTGGCTCAAAAAACCAAAAATCGTATGTTCTCCCTCATATGTGGACATTAGATCAAGGGCAAACACAACAAAGGGATTGGACTATGAGCACATGATAAAAGCGAGAGCACACAAGGGAGGGGTGAGGATACGTAAGACACCTAAAAAACTAGCTAGCATTTGTTGCCCTTAACGCAGAGAAACTAAAGCAGATACCTTAAAGCAACCGAGGCCAATAGGAAAAGGGGAATAGGTACTAGAGAAAAGGTTAGATCAAAAAGAATTAACCTAGAAGGTAACACCCACGCACAGGAAATCAATGTGAATCAATGCCCTGTATAGCTATCCTTATCTCAAACAGCAAAAACCCTTGTTCCTTCCTATTATTGCTTATAATCTCTCTACAACAAAATTAGAAATAAGGGCAAAATAGTTTCTGCTGAGTATTGGGGGGGGAGAGGGAGGGGGCAGAGTGGGTGGTAAGGGAGGTGGTGGGGGCAGGGGGGAGAAATGAAACAAGCCTTGTATGCACATATGGATAATAAAAGAAAAATGAAAAAAAAAATAACGAGCAAAATGAATTCAAAATAAAAAAAAAAGACTGCATGTTTTCTCTCATACGTAGAAGATAGATCCAAAAGATAAACATATACACAAAAGCAAACATGATCATGTACAAACTCATGTAGAACACGTTTGTAACAGTGGAACTTCTCTATGGAACTTGGGGAAGGAGGGACAGGGAAAGAGAATGCTAGAGCACCAACGATATTGTAAAACATAACATCTGAGAAGGGTAGAGGATATAAGGATATGGATTGAAAGCTATTGAAAAGGGAGGGCAATGGAAGGGGTTAAGTGGATCAAAGTAAAGAATACTCACAGCAGGTATACATTGAGAAACCCCTTTGAGCATCGACTTAAATATTAATAACTAAAGAATTATAAAATAGGTACAGTGGGGGAGGGAACGGGTGACTGAAGGAGATTAAGGTGAGGGTATATGGTAGATGGACTTCATATACTTACATGAAGTAGAATAAAGAAACTTCTTGCAATTGCTCTAAGGGGAGTGAGGAGGAGGTAGAAGGGGAGAGATGGTAGGGGTCTAACCAATGTATAATATAAGCCTATTTGGATTTGACACAATGAATCCCCCCTATACAATGAACATATCTGAAAAAAAGAAAAAGAAACACAGACTTAGGTAGCTATGATGAAATATTTTACCAGTGATTAAGTTGTGTTCCTCTCAGATTTTTTTTCTTTCTTGGGTTTTCCATGTGAGATTTCTTTTTCAAAGAATCATTATTGAAAGGGATTCTTTATGAAATCTATTGGCAGTCACTTCTTGATGCTATGGGGATAAGCTGAATGTAATGCAAAAGTGCTCAGTAGAATAACATAATTCTGATAATTTTTAAAAGACCAAACCAATGTTTCTTAAAGAATGGGAGATAAAATTCAGATTCAAGAGTTTCCAGATCCAATTCAAATGTACATTCTTTGAAAGTCTCCCTGGGGAAAGCTATTACTTTGTTCTCTAGTGATTTATCTTTCCTGATGCCATCTTTCACTAGTCAGTGAGTTATAAAGCTATCCTTATAATATTATAGATAGATAGATAGATAGATAGATAGATAGATAGATGCATTCTCACTGATGTCAACCACATTTCATCCTAGTCATTCAGGAGCTGTTGTAAGTATTAGTTTATTACTCATGAGAACATATCTAAAGTTAAATATACTATTCCAAATTTGTAGTTTAAAAAAATCTTCACTGAAAATTTGAATATAGCTTATTTGCATGTTATAGCTAACACTTTTCTGGGTTGAAAGATTGTGTGTTGAGCTACTTGAAACCTCTTAGGGAAGGAATAAATTAAAGTTTTTGTC